ATATTAGAAAACCTCTAGATTCGTTTGACTTTGATTGCTCTGATTCTAATTGAGAGTATTTTTCTTGTTGATGACTATCCAACTAAGTCCTCATAATTGAGAAATATGATTATGAATATGTAATGATGAATCAAAAACGGACCTGCTTCATCGATTTAATTTATCTTTTTCTTAACTTATTTATGTATCTCTGAAATTTTGAATCGGTCATTAGTCTAAATACACGTAAATAATCTATGAAAATCATGTAGCAACATTAGTGGCTGATAAATGGAATTTATATCTCAATGATTTTCACTAGTGCCCCTTTACATACAATTCACAATTCAAGTGTCCTGTGTAAGTTGTAGACAAGAAAAAAATGGAAATAATGGTGATTGATTGACAATTGATTTTTTACATGGTTTATATTTAGTCGTATAAAGTAATTTTTTTTTTGGCATCTAGAAACATTAAATTGAAACAAACGAAATATTACACAGAAGATCAAGGACGATAGGGGATAAACCAATCTGCATACCGATGCGAAAACGAATCCGTTCAGAACTGAAGCCCAAAAGAGAGAAACAGTTCCAAACTACTACCAAGACAAGGAACCAAATTCGAAAGGTACAACACAAAACCGAACCATGGAGAAACTAAGAAGTACAACAAACCAAAAACGAACACGAGGCAAGGACGCATGAATTGAAGAAACGGCAACCACCAATCCACAACGGATGAGGTTAAATGCAATCTCACATCGGAAGAAGATGAAAAAACGGGATGCAAGCGATCACCAACAAGAAGAGCAAACCAACCCACCGAGGAGACTCCAAATAAGATTCAACACTATGCTCACTAGTTAAAGGAGGCAATAAATTAATGTACATCGCCGATTGGAGATTATTCTGGAAAAAACGGTAAGAAAAGGCACACCAATATGCTGGGCAAGGGAAATCAGTCTCGCTATCAACTCCTTCCAAAAATAACAATCCACCAATAAGCACTTTAATCCAAATCAACATCACCTAACAAACAGAAGAAAGAACTGCACAACAAGCTCCATGACGATTGCGAGGACCACAACAACCAGTATCAGCAAGCAGAAAGAGCAGACCAATAGAAATAAAAGCGGCAACGACCAAACCACAATCACCACCAGAGCAACTCCAAAAAACCCACCATCTTCTGCGAAACACATCACCACCTATACTGTAAACGCCCCGACCGCTGCCGAGCTATCAGTATGCAGGGGAAATCCTCATCCCCTCGAGAGAAATCCTCATCTCTCAATAACATACAAGGGAAATCCTCATCCCTTCATGAGAAATCATCAT